AACACATCTATTCCTTGGGCTTTGAAAATGGCACATAGAAACCAGCAGGTGCCACCTGGCACTTTTACAACAGATTCTTCCCACTGCCAGAATCTGCTAGGGGAGCTGTTAGCCCCAGTGGAATTCCAAACAAGACCCGTATGGCCATGCTATCTGCGAAGTTAAGAAACATTTTGTCAGTATTTGGGAAGCTGAAGCAAGAGAATCATGAGTTTAAGGCCAGTCTGTGCCACACAGAAAGACCCTGTCCCAAAAACAGAAAAGGAAAAGAAGAGAAAGGGGAAGGAGAGAGGAGGGAGAAGAAGGAAGGAAGGGAGGGAGGTAGGAGGGAGGGAAGGAGGGAGGAAAGGAGGGAGGAAGGGAGGAAAGGAGGAAGGAGGGCCAGGGCCACAAATGGCACATGAGCATAAATAGATTCATAAAGTAAAGAGATGAACAAACAAGTCAAGGAAGGTGGTGAAACAGTTGAACCTCAACTGTTTTCCTGGAAAATGGGTAAGACAAAGTACTATAGGAAATAGATAACAACGTTTATTACTGAGAGCAGCTATAATTTGGGAAGAATTTACAAGATGTGAATTGCCAGGAATAGGATGGCCAGGTATCCCTCCCTGCCCTCCTTTGCCTTATAGGGAACTTATGGGAAAGAACTGAACAGTATGCCAAGCGTTACAGATGACTGAACAATATGGAAACAGTTTACAGCACAAGAACCTAGCTGACTAGAGGAGTGCTGAGAGAAGGTGCTCTAGGCAGGGGAAACAAAGATCTGGAAGCAGTGAAGCATTTGGCACTCAAAAACATGTTTTTCAAACTGCAGGTCACAACCCAATACTGGATTGTGAAATCGGTTTAGTCTGTTGTGAGCCCCATTTTCCTGAAAATGAAACAGGACTGAAGAGAAAGTCAGTGCAAAGCACATAAGAATTATCTTAGGAAACTCACTGCAGTCATACATACAGTGACATAATAATCAGTAAACTAAATTATCATGTAAATTTATTTCTTTTACTATAGTTCACATTTGAACAACTCTGCATCAGAAGAGTAAAAGATCAATATAAGTGGAGTATAAAAGAGGAAGAATGGAAGATTAACTCTTTCCCATAACCTCCAAATTAAATACTGTGCCTGCTTCACAAAAAAGGTCAAATTTCATGCCTGTGCTTACATAGTCTGTTATGGGTAGAAGGGAAAGTTGACTCCAGTGAAGTTTCTCTGTAGGTAATTTGGGGTAAGATGTTGCCATTACAAATGGATGCTAATGAACTGAAATTACCATATCTATCCTAAATCCAGCCTTAAATATGGGCTTTAATGCTTTGGGAGAGGAAGACAATTTAGATAAGAGAATATACCCCCAAATTCTATGCATAACTGAGAAAGTTACACTGGGGCAATTACAGTAAAGAAAAAAGTAAGGCATCTGGCACAAGAAAGGCAATCCTGTTCATCATACATCAGCTTAATCACAGGACTCCACTAATTTATTCCACTATTTTTGTACAATATCACCAAATAATGATTAAATGTCTAGTTAATGTGTTGTATGGTCACTGTTTTCTTCTTTACAGCATTAGTCCATTTCCTGTTGCTATGACAAAATACCTGAAAAGTGGGTAGTAAGGAAGAAAAGTTTATTTAGTTCACAGATTTTTGGAGGCTGAAAGCCCAAGATCAAGTTCAGTTCTGATAATGGCTCCCTTGGTGCATCACATGGTAGACATACAAAAGGAAGAAAACACATGGCAAGGCAGGAAGCCAGACAGAGTCAGGGGTCAGGTCCGTTCTTTTCTAACAGCTTAAACTCCTGAGAACTAACTCACTCGTGGACCACATCAATCCCTTCTCCGGGCAGTGCCTCCCAATGACCTAATTACCTCACACTAAGCTCCACCTCTTCAAAAAGGTTCCACCACCTCCCAACATCTCCACACGAAGGACCATGCTTCCAGCACAAGACCCTTTCATGGATAAACTATATTGAAACAAAGCATTTCTTTTTTTTTTTTCATTTTTCTTTTATTATTCATATGTGCATACAAGGCTTAGTTTATTTCTCCCCCCTGCCCCCACCCCCTCCCTTACCACTCACTCCACCCCCTCCCGCTCCCCCCCTCAATACCCAGCAGAAACTATTTTGCCCTTATCTCTAATTTTGTTGTAGAGAGAGTATAAGCAATAATAGGAAGGAACAAGGGGTTTTGCTGGTTGAGATAAGGATAGCTATACAGGGCATTGACTCACATTGATTTCCTGTGCGTGGGTGTTACCTTCTAGGTTAATTCTTTTTAATCTAACCTTTTCTCTAGTTCCTGGTCCCCTTTTCCTATTGGCCTCAGTTGCTTTAAGGTATCTGCTATTAGTTTCTCTGCATTAAGGGCAACAAATGCTAGCTAGTTTTTTAGGTGTCTTACCTATCCTCACCCCTCCCTTGTGTGCTCTCGCTTTTATCATGTGCTCATAGTCCAATCCCCTTGTTGTGTTTGCCCTTGATCTAATGTCCACATATGAGGGAGAACATACGATTTTTGTCAACAGCATTTCTTGAGTCAAGTGCACAGATGTCCTCATAATCTGAGCAGCTAAACCTCACCTACTGAATAAGCCTTTTAATAGGAGACAAGGAAGGAACTTCTCCCCTCTTGGCAGAAAACATTATTTGGATCAAGATTTCCTGACATGGAAAGAAAATTCCAAGTTTTAAATGTTAACATAATATGTTATATTATCATATAATATAGGTAATCACAAGAGATCACCACAGGAACTGGTCAGATTATATCCTTGGAAACTCAAAGAGATTTATTTCTCTTGTAGAAAAAAACCCAAACACTCCTCCTAAAGGCTGACTGCAACTATTTGCAGTTGAACCAAATACAGAGTAAAAATCTCAACATTTAATCATCCTGGACACACCTGAAACAAAGGTGAGGGGTTATGATGTTAAGTTTTTCTGTTTTTAATTAAAATATGGGCTTTATATGCTGAATCTGAAGTTACTTGAGGCACAAGGCTTTGCAATGCACATATTCCATTACAGAAATCTTATTTATTGCCAGTATCTGAAATCGGCTGAAAGTTCCCTAAGTCTGTAAACTCATACAGCACGCATGCCTCAAACTTCATTTGAAGGAGGTCAGGTCACTAAGGTCTGCAAAGGGTCTTGAGACCTGTAAACAGTTGGTCTCCTTTCTCCCAGGGTCTTTGAGATCAGACTGACCGCCCGCTTCTGACACTAGCTCACTACCTCCACCTTGTGGCCAGAGCTAAAGCCTAGGGGTCACAGCCTAGCAAGCCTCCAGCCTCCTCAGGAACCTCAGAACAAACACAAGACCAAGAAAGCTGCTTAAAATATTGGTACCCAGCATGGCCAGGTTCTCACAATACCAACTACTTGACAATTTCACTTGGCCACTTGGTTGGCTCTTGATTAACAAGCAAATAACAAGTACTTGGTGTGTGAAGGACTTAAATCAAGAATTCTCAAAGTTTAAACTTAAACAGATGAGAGCTATTGTCTCTTCGAGGAATTAAATCGGTGAACATTAGACAAAAAAACTTTAAACTTGGGGGAGGTGCTACTAAGTTCTGACATTGCATGTAAATTTGAGAGATGAATGGCAACAATGAATTACTCTGGATTTTTAAAAAAATAGCCAACTCATGAAACTAACCTCTTTTTCCCTTTTACATGGAAGGGATGAAGAAATTTTTTACAGACATTCATAGTCCTGGAAAACACAGCAATATTTCCCCCTTTGATATTTTTGTATAGATAAACATAAGAATAACACAAAACAACAAGTCAAAATTAGATGGAAATAAACCCCAACTTCCCCTCAATTCTTTTGTTCCCATTGCAGTTTTATTCTCAGGTAAAATATTAAAATTAGAGCAGGCCTGAGAGTCATTAATGAACCAGTCAGCAGTCCGTAATCAGCACAGGGTCAGACATATAGAAAAGACCCTGAATTTGAGACAAAGCCCACAACTGTGAATGAAGGACTTAGCCAGATAATCTTAATGGCAATCAGAACCTACAAGACAAAGAGTTAGGACACAGTAGTCAATCTTTTGAATCTTACATGGTAACCCAAGTAGCTGTACATGGTGGACAACCCCTTATAACTTATAGGATTTCAGAACACTCCAGTAGGAAAAGTCATCAGAGGGCATGTGGCTAGGGACATCAGGTCTGTCTTCTCACACACCAACTGGATGGAGTGGTAATGGCTGCCTACAGATCAGGTGATAGAGGAGTACAATAAGGACCAGTCTGGACTTCCAAGGTAAGTTCTATGATCAATACTAATACCTGCCACAGGCCTCAGACTAAAGGATTATGTGCTATTAATTTCTACTTTTTGTACCTTTTAGTTTGCCATTCTTGATTTTAGTCTGTTCTGCCTGTTTACAAATGGAAAACTTGGGTTCAGAGAAGTTAATTCAATTTAAGGTTATCATAGTCATAGCTGATCTAGGATGAGTTATCAGGTCTAGGCATCCCTATCAGTGTCAACAAGTTTAGCTGAGAAGATAGCATTCATATAAAATTGCTAATAATTCAAAGAAGCAAAACATTCATTGTTTTCTATAAAGAACCCTTGAAAGAAGCTTTTAGATCCACACAACACTGTTTCAAGAACTTTCACAGAAACGATCCTGTGGTTAAAAACATTCTTCCCCCTTTGCCTTACAAAAAGGAACCTGACATTTCCTGCTATAAATCAGTATACCACCACATATCTCCAGTGTGTGTGTGTGTATGTGTGTGTGTGTGTGTGTGTGTGTGTGTATGTGTGTGTGTGTGAGAGAGAGAGAGAGAGAGTGTGTTAGTGAATGGGCAGGGACTATGTAAACTTGCCAATGCTTACTTCAGAAATGAAGTCTCCATTGTGAAAGAACAAGTGGAATATTTTTCACTTCCTATTCCTCAGGGCATCAAAGTTGGAAAGAACTGGTTGATCATGAGAAAGCTGGCAACTAGAGATGCTTACCTGCTCTAATGTAAGTTGCTTAGAAATGGTGTCATTCTCCAGCTTTTTGATTTTCTTCATCAGTTTGTTGACCTGGAATTCCTGCTCCTGTTCTAGGTGCTGTTCCAGTTCAGCTTTCTCATGTTGCAACTGGAAAATGAAAAGAACACAGACATAGAAGTCAAGATACTCAAAAGTCATGCAAACACTGGCTCCAAAAACTATGACACTGAGTAAGAGGCCTCATCACAAAGACGGTATTACCCACGCCTGCTCATACATCCAAATATATGTCTGGAAACCTGCCCATTCTTGACTGCTTCCTAAAAACCACAAATTATAAGGCAAATACAAGAAATACCAAGGCATCATTAAATGCAGATTTTAATTCCTTTTTTGTATAAAGGAATTGGGAGGTTGGGGAATGAGGTAGGGAAGGAAACTCACTTTTCAACATATACACTTCAGGTCCCTTTTAAGTTTTATTCTGAGGGCATACAAATTAAGAAACTTTAAAAAATAGAAAGTTTACACTGTAAGCTTTTATTACATGAACAAAAGTTTACTCAGATTTGTGTTATGTCTACAAAGAGGTCACAATCACAAAATATATTTAGTAAATTTTTCAGAACTATTAAGCTATTTTCCAATGTATAAGTAAGCATGTTTTGGCAAAAAGAAATGCCATTAGTTTTTTTGCATGATGAAATTGTACATCCTTCCTAAAAAACATGCGAGAGAGCAAAGATTTTAGAAAATTATTTCAAACTTCAAAACTAAAAGGAAATGAAATTAATCTAGTGGATACAGGACAATCTGAGGTTTTCATTAATTATCATGCATTATTTCAAACCCTCTCTTCTGCGGGGTTTTGGTGATCCATAGCAGGGGTTGAACCAATGTCTCAGAACCACAGTGAAATACATGACGCTTAATTTTACCTTTGAAATAATTTCTTTGGGTAGACACTGGACACTAGTTTCAGAACATGCATTAAGACAGGAACAATCACTTACATTTTATTCATTTTTACTTTTTCTTTTGCAGTAATGGGGTTTGAACTCAGAGCTTCATGCTTTTGCTCTACTGCTTGAGCCATGCCTCAAGGCCCTACCACATCCATTTTATACATGACACAAAGATCACTGGACCAACACAATACATTTGGAAAGTTAAAGAGCCACAGTCCATTCTGAATCCCAAACCCATGCTCACCTGCTGCACCTGAGCAAACCCAAGAGAAGTTGCCTCTAGACTCCATCACCCACTAGTGCCTAGCACAAGCTTGGTGTTTAGAAAGCCAAATTAAACACAGGAGAAAATACGCCATGTGTGCTCACCCAGGGGGAGCAGTATCTCTGTATATGCACTCCATGGGGTGCGATAGACAACTGAGAGAGCTTGACTGGGCCTGGTCAGCCTCAAAAGTAGCCATACCCATCCCTCTCTCCAGATTTGACTCAATTTTCACAGTTCTCAAAGAACATACTTGTATTTAAAAAAAAAAAAAAGTAAGTTTTAAATCTGACATAGCCTTCCAAACACTGGAAATATTGACTAGATCTCCAACTATTTCTGATGTGCAACTCAAAAAAAAAAAAAATGAGCTGGTCAACCTTGCAGGGGCCCCTAGGCAGGGGGGGAAACAGATGTGAGGAGGTGCTTACAATGACAAGTTTATTTTTAGCTAGCACTTTAAAACTCAGGTTCTGTAAGACTAAGCAGCAATTAGGATGCTTTACTTTTTTCAAAAACAGAGAACAGGGAGGTAAAACAGGTCTTGTCTGGGGGTTGGTACCAGTGGGAGGGGGCAAGATATAAGTAAAGGGTAAAGGAGGGTTATGTGGTGGAAATATGTACTCATGTATGAAGACAGAAAAATGAGACCTGTTGAAACTATTTCAGGGATGGGAAGGTGGGGGGATAAAGGAGAATGATGGGGAGGGGTGAATTCAACTATCATATTTTGTAAGAACTTTTGTAAATGTTAAAATGTACCCCCAGTACAACAATAATATAGTAAAAAAGAAAAGAAAAAATTAAAAAAAGAACTAAGAATGACAGGGAACAAGAAGAATCCCCACATGTCAGACACAAAGACCCCAATGGAACAAATAATACTTACAAAAAAAATAGGCAAAATATGTATATCTTATCGAATGCTTTTTATTCAGTAAGCATTTGCCATGTGTCTTCTATTTAAAGGTAACAGTCATAAATAAAATTTATACTTAAGATATCATCCATGCCCTCAGATAGCTTACGAACACTAGGTGTATCTACTAGTTTTAAAGAAATGATGAACTAAACCATTTGCATATAAAGGTATTTTTTAAATATGCTAGCTGGTTCTCTGACAATATGTTTTTAATTGTTGCCATTTTATTTGAGAATCCCCTCTTTTCTGCTTTTCTTTTTTTAAAGCATTATGCTTCTGTGCCAGGTAAATTAAAATAAAGGCTCCAATCTAACACTGCAAAATGTCTTGCCCACCAAGCAGTGCATGTCACAGAATGTTAATCTGTGAGGATCTCATTGGTTTGCAGGGAAATAGTCATAATTAGACAGATGGTCTAACTCTGTCAATATCTGATTAGGTATTTCCTTTGTGACTGCTGTCTGAATAGTGACAAAGGCTATAAAAGCTCCCAATTGAGGAGGCTTTTTCCTCTCAAGAGCTATGCCCTAAGAAAAACCGGATGATGAAGCTGTTGTTAGCAGGACTCAAGTAAGGTCCCTGGGTTACACTAACCCATCTGGACATATCAAGCATCCTGAGACCTAAAGATTCTGCTAAAGATTCACAATTTTCATCATCCCCAAAAGAGAGAGCTGAAACAGCTCTACTGCCTGCTTTGTTCTGCCACCTGTCAGGTGACATGAAATTTATAAGCAGTCATGAAGTTTCTGCATAGTGAAAAGAGAGAAAATGTGGTTCTTCTTTAGAACAATGAAACCACCAAGAAAAAGAGAAACTGAGAAATAAAGAAATACCTCAAGCCTCCAAAATTACGAAATGAAGGTTAAGACAAACAAAGGGGAGAAGGCAGATATGCAGGGAAGAGACTTTGAGGAACTAATGGAGTTTGCATCACACAATTAGCCTGAGAAAAATTTAGAAACTGTCTTAATAGATTAATTCAGAAGTTTTAATAGATGAAGGTTGTACACCCTTAATCCAAAAATTCAAAATGTTCCAAAACCTGAAACCGAGTGCCAGCATAATGCTACAAATGAAAAGTAGCATTAATAATTCTCACCTGCCCTCAGGTGATGGATGGGTCATAGTAAAACTCAGGTGCACTAAAAATACTGTATGAAAATTACCTCGAGCTATGTGCATAAGGTGTCTATGAAACTTAAATGAATTTCATGTTAAGTCTTGGGTCCCATCCCCAATGTATCTCATGAGGTATATACAAATACTACAAAATTTAAAAGAAAAATGGAATTCAAAATTCTGATTCTAAATGTGTCAAGAAAGGGATATTCAATGCTTGAACCAACACCAGCCTTTTTTGAAACTGCAGTTCATGGTACCACAAACAGAAAAAACCCTCTAGGGAAGCCTAGTGCAGGCCAAGCCAAAACTAGCTATCAGCACTTTCATCTCTGCAGCCCTTCTTCAATGTTTGATTTTAACTTTCTAATTGGAGGTCTAAACATATTGCCATGTGAGCAGTTTTAAATCTTTCAGAAAGATCAGAGATTCTGAACTAAAACACAAATAATTCAAACTCAGAAGTAAATAATCGGGAAAATTATATATATATTTTTAAATAAAATGTGGTTTTCTCTTTATGTCTCTAAAACTAAATGCTTAGGCAGATTGAAAGTTGGGCTTTTGAAATCATAAATGCACTTTTATAAAGTCGATTTCAAAGATTATGGAAAAGTTTTACAGCCCTTAGTTGGTCAGGTTCAGTTAACATTAACAAAATATTCCCTGTGCAACTAGAATCATATTATGAAACAGATGTTCCCCTAGAAAGTCACCTTTTTAATGGAATTAGGGCTATATAAATAAAGGTATACTCCTTGGGATCCAGTATGAAAAAAAGTATTAATGTAACTGAAGAAGCCATAAGCAAAGGCACAATTGTAGATCAGTACAATTTAATTGTTGCCTTTATAATACACAAGGGCTTTCTGGAACCAAATGAACTAGGCTTCTTATGTAAGAGATTCAAGAACTGTGTTCCAAATGACTTTTTATTCTCAGCAAAATTCTCCCAGGTAGGTAGAGGTATCAAAACACTCACCTGGGAGAACCACAGGTGCACACCCAGGCTGGCTGTTGAGCTGGCCCTCCCATCCAACACACGGGGAAGTTTGCCAAGTTTCAGGCTGTGAAATGTTAATTCTGCAGGTTTGGGCTCGTTGTCAATCTAGCCTTTACCAAGTGAGGCAAGTCTTCTGGCTGCCACCCCCAGGACTTAGCTCTCTCAAACCAATTTGAGAATATACCTGAAATGCCCCTACCTCTGCTTTAACCAGTTAACACTACCTGTTTGCTGTTCCACAATCAACATGATTGGTTTATGGACAACTAACAAGGAATACCATCTTCATGGGACCACGAAAAAGCCTTGCATGGAACAATAAACACATTAATTCTCTGGATCATCGAAAACAATTACCAGGTTATTAATATAAGCTTTGAAAAAATGTCCCCAAATATCTCTCAGAACATTGTCTCTCAAGCACCAACTTTTCAACTGTTCTGCACAGGAGCTCAGACTCCCACCTCGGCCTCAGTCAATCACCACTGAGTGTCTCTTGGGCCCACTCTTATTTCCACCTCCTCCCTGCTGTTACTGGTACCGTTATTCTTGCTCAAAACCTCACATCTCTTCAGTTATCAATCACATGAAGTCAGCCTCCATAATGGCTGTCAAACACACCCTGTCCTATCTGGGCTCATGACCCAGTCTACTTGAGGCTTTTAGTCCTCTTCATAAGGCACGAGAAATGGATCTCTCGAGATTTGCTATAGATCATCCCAGCTGACAAACCCTCATACTTCAATGTCTTTCTCAAAGCCCTAAAGAGGCTCCCTACTACCTGAAGATTAAGTCTAAACTCACTAGCATAATATTCAAGTCCTTTTCTGATCCAGTCAGTAGGCCAGCTTCCATGCTTTCCTTATA